TTTAGAGACATCTGATCTTAAGGTTTATTTACACTATCACCACCTGGTTATTACTTCCTCCAGATGCTTTGTAGGGGCAGGAGATGCTCCCTCCCTCAGGCAGGACTTCCTGTGCAGTGCCTGGAGTGTGTCCTCAGAAGCCAGTGTGTTTGGCTCAACTGTGTTCGAGTTTAGAAAGAAGAGCACAGGAGCTCACTTAGAATTCAGAGGCAAGACATACTTGTGATACCCTGAGGATCCCTGGGAGCTAAGGGCACATAGTAGCTTCTGTTGGAGTGTGCACCGGGCCTGATCTTAGAGAAGACACCATTACTGCATGCTGACTACACCCTGGCTGCACTCTTAACCCTGTCGTGGCTGTGTTTTCTGGGGGTGGAGGGAAGAACAGACAAAGCCAACCAAGATGTTCTCCATTGATTCTATATTATTCAATAGACCAGGACAGAGGAGAAGTAGGTGCCCTCTTGACTTCGGATGCACAAGATAAGTGCAGTGGGTGTCACAGTGAGAGTAGTAATTATGTCATCTGTCTTGTCATGGAATGTGACTATAGTAATTGCAACATTTTCTCCCGTCATTGAAGCTGGTAATTATGGTGCAACTAACAGCATTATGTGCTAACTTGAGCTGTTTTAATCACCTCTTTCACTCTGAAATGCAATGGGAAAATTCCACAGTTGTTCCCAGGCTACCCATTTCTCTAAGCATCTGCTGTCTTATAATCCTAACAGCTGGATGCTGAGGTGGGAGGCAGGGATGCTCAGGGCAACTCATCACAGTGATGCCAGTATCTCAGTGCTTGATAAGAAAGCATCATCAAGAAGGCAGGTTGTCAGTTTTATACCATGATAAAATTTTATCTTTGAGATTATCTGTTTTGTTTCAGAAGCAGCAGATGTTTTGGCATCTGGCACTGTTTGCCACCCATACCTTACAGGAGGGAAACCTCAATCCACAAAAATCAATCTAATTCTGATTAAGGAAAACCTCCTTCAGCCCTGGCAGCAGTTAATTAATGCCAGGATGGAACACTGTGGGCCAGTGTATTACTTTTCCCATGGCTGTGACAAATTACCTGCTGAAGCAATGTAAGGAAGGGCTCATGATTTGAAGATACAGCCCATCGTGGTGGGAAGATATGGCAAGAGCCTGAGGCAGCTGGTCACATCACATTAGCAGTCAAGAGGCAGAGAGAGATCAAGGCTGCTATTCAGCTCTTGTTCTCCTTTTTATTCAGTCTAGGACCCCAGTTCGTGGGAGGGTACCACTCAGCCTGGCTCTTCCAACCGCAGCTAAACCTACCTGGAAATATCCTCATAGACACACCCAAGGAGTGTCTCCTCCATGATAATAAATTACAGCCACCACAGCCATGATGGCATTATTCATGTGTAATGTTCCATGCCTGAAAATGGTCATTACCTGGGTTTATCTTCTCTGAACACAGTATAGTGAGCACTAGCAGATATTCAAGGTGATTTGCATATACTGACATAAATAGACTTTGGACACTATTATGTGAACCGAGAGGGTCTGGTTGGGATAGAAATTCCCTTGATTACCTTGATGTAAAATGATCTACCCTGCATTGGATGCAGCTAGGCATAACTAATCCATTCTTTACAGTGTAAAAGGTAACTTATAAGGAATTCAGAACTAGCAGAGCATAGTCAGAAAAATGAAATAAGATCTTTTGTTGGAAGTGTAGAATGATTGAAGGGGCCGTGTTTGAACTACTCTTTCCTCCTGGGATTGTTAGATTGCCGCTCCTGACCTCAGGCTTCTGTTCAAGTCCATGTTCTGCAATTGTAACAGAATTCCATGGTTGGAAAATAGAAGATGGGGGAAAAGGAAGGAGAAAGAAAGAAAAGGAAGGAAATCAGGGAGGGAGGAAAAGGAAGGGAGGAAGAAAGGAAGGAAGGTGTTTCTCACAGCTCTGGAGCTGTGTCATAACACGGTGGGAAGTCAAGCCATGAAAGACAAAGTAGGAGAAAACTCAGGTTAAACTCTTATCAGGATTTCTGTCCTGCAGTAACATGGTAGTCTGTTGCAGGGGTGTGTGTGTGTGTGTGTGTGTGTGTGTGTGTGTGTGTGTGTGTGTGTTACATAACCCATTTATGAATGCCCCTAACATTCAAAGTGAGTTTTGAAGGGACTTTCAAACTGCAATAATCATTCTGAGTGCATCTAGAAAACTGGCATCGTGTGGGCCAGCCCAGGCCCACACACCTGTGCTCTTACAGCAAGTGCCTATCCTCTGCAAATTCTGCTTGGCCATGTGGGGATGGGGGAATGGGGGGGCGGTAATGGGCTTCCATCCAGGAGTGCAGTTATAGTTGAGTAGATGCATGCAGTTACAGTCTGGAAAGAACAGCTGAAAAAGAGATGACCTAATAGCTGGGCGATAGTGGTTCGTCCCTTCATCCTAGCACCAGGGCGGCAGAGGCATCTCTATGAGTTTGAGGCCAGCCTGGTCTACAAAGTGAGTTCCAGGACAGCCAGGAATGTTACACAGAGAAACCCTGTCTTAAAAAATGTATGTATGTATGTATGTATGACCAAAGAACAACTTTTTCTCTTAAAAGGAGCATGGTGGCATCAAGTATAGCCTCTCCTTTGGGATGTGATAGAATAAAACTAATAGAACCAGATAGAACCTGCTCAGAACTGGGTGGGCCAGTCACGCAAGCACAATTGCCAGGTGTTACAGACACTGGGGTGAGAGAGGACTTGGACCTTGTAGCTCTTTCACGGGGCACACACCCCACCAAATCCCCTGATCTAACAGCCCCCCACCCACATGCCTTGCCAGTGATACATTTGAACTTGGGGTTGTTCTCAGTTAAGCTAGTATAACCCTCCCTCCCCCTAGCCCCCTGACACTCCCACTGCTCTTGTACAAAGGTAAAGTGGTCAAGGGTCAGGAAAGCTGCCCTGGTTACCCACAAGCCAGCTGCCAACTGCAAAGGCACATGGCCTGTTCTCTGCCTCCACATCTGTGACTGTTCAACACATACTGCTGCCTGCGGTGGCTTTGTTATTTCCAAGTCTTCTTGGTTGGCTCTAGTGTCTTAGTTTTTCCTGGGCATCTTCTCAATTAGCTCAGGAAGGTAAATAGATGCTCAGTAAACACTTCCTACATGGGATAAAAGGTAAGTCCTATAAAGAATTCAGAATTATCGGAGCATGGTCAAGGGAAGTAAAACAGGGTCATGGGGTGGGGGTGGGGGACAGACGAAGTACTGAAGGGGCCAGTTTGAACTCTTTACTCTTTCCTCCTGGGATTGTTAGACCTGCATCCCTGACCTCAGGCTTTTTGTCCTGGCTCTGCTCCTAAGCTTGCATGTGATCCAGCAAGGAACTCACCTTCTCTGACCCCTGGATTAGTGATATCCAGGAGTGTTTTTGATGGCCCTAAGCTTGCTTCACCTGTGGTCTGTGGTTCTACCTTTAATAGCATAGTCAGCTTTTAAATCCTTACTAACTGCACATCGAGACGGGAATTTCCCAGGGGAAGACCAAGTTTGCGCGTTTAGCCATGACAAAGGATGGGAGTTGGGGCACAGAGATGACCCTGATGGGGACACACAGATCAGGAGTTACACAGTGAGGGCAATGCGACACAGCCGTGGCACGGAAAGAGAGAATGTGTGTGCACATGCCTTCTCTGACCTTCCGGATAAATGCCAAGTGCTCCTTGCCACCAGGCTCACCTCCACCAAGACGAAAAGCTGTCTCTGCCTGTCTACAGCCACCAATGTGGGGAGACAGTACATTTACCCAGCTGCCCCTCTGGCAAACCCTGGGATCCCTTCCTCTGTCCTTCACTGCAGGGAGGGTCCTGTGAGAGCCCAGCTAGGCCGTTTCACCTGGCCATCATGACCTCATCAACCTTCCAGTTTTCACTTTCCATTAACTATTTTTCTTGATGCTGTGGACAAAATACCTAACAAAACCTCAAGAAAGGGAGAGTTCATACCCAGGAAGAAAAGGTGGTACAAACCACCTTCTCATTTCACACTCCCAGCAAATGTAGCATTTGTCAGGATTGGGCTTGACTCGTCCACACAACGTGTAGTTATTTAAGAAGAAGAAAAAAACTTCAACATGTGTCATGTGTCTGCTGGGGAAATCAGGCTACCACTGACACTGACCAGTCTGAGTTGGAAATCAGAAAAAAGAATCTAAAGGATGAAGGTGGGAAACCCCAAAGCAGGTTGGGAGAGGGGCATTTTCCTCTCACTTCTTGCGATGGCTAACCTTGCTTTGTCAATGTGACTACATCTGGACTCAACTAAGACCGGAGCCATAAGGAATTTTCCTGAGTAGATCATTTGAGGTGGGAAGACCCATACTAAGTCTGGATCATTCAAAGTGAGAATACCTACCCTAAACTGGGCATACCTTTGGGCAGCAGATCACATTAAAGGACACACCATTCCCCTCTCCGTGAACATCCAGCTCTTTTTTCTGGACTCAAACCGGGGAAGTTTACTATACAGTTTCTGTGTATTGATCAAGAAAAGTCTGGGAGGAAAACAGAAGAGAGAGCTTCTGGTCAGTAGCAGCCCTCTGTAGGGAGCAGCTGCCTGTCACTAGAAGGCATGGCTTGAGCTGGTTAGGTAACTCAGCAGGTGAAGATGTGTCCCAGGAAAGCCTGACAACCTGATTTGCAAACCTGGAGCACACGCGAAGGTGGAAAGGTAGAGCTGACTCCACAAAACATCTGTACTCAGAATTCTCCATGTGTGCCATGGCATGCACCTGCTCCCCAGTGTGTGTGCATATTAGTATATAATACTTACTATATACTAACATACATTATATACTATTATAATATTACATAAGTATAATAATAAATGCATTTTGTAAGATGAGGGCTTATAAAGCCTTGCTGAAGGGGACAGAGTATCTCTCCTGGTTTGGCCATGAGAGTAGACCTTGGCCTGGACCCACTCTGTGAACACCTTTAACCAAGCACCTGTGCTGTGTCCCCGCAGGTCTCCCAGGCAGCCTCAGACCTCCTGGCCTACTGTGAAGCCCACGTGCGGGAGGACCCCCTCATCATCCCAGTGCCTGCCTCGGAAAACCCCTTCCGGGAGAAGAAGTTCTTCTGCACTATTCTCTAACACCCGTGGTGACCAAACTGGCCCTTTCCTGCTGTAAAAGTCCCGAGTAGAGACCGTGCACGCTCCCGTGTAGAGGCATGCCTCCCATACATACCCCATCCCTGTCCAACCAGTTGTGATCTGGGCTCATCTTGGTTTACCAGGTTTACCATATTTTCTGCGATACTCTTTCTTCTTTTCCTCCTCCTCCTCCTTCTTCTCCTTCTCCTTCTTCTTCTTTTGGTTTCATTTTTGTTATTTACATCCATAGAGAAGAAAACAAATGTTTTTATAGCCAAATAACAAATGTGCCATATAAAAGTGTGGATTTAAGGGTCTACAATTTTTAAACATTAATTCCCAAGTGTAAATATGTCCTGTTGATAAATTTCAGCAGGCAATTCATTGAAATCAAAACTGTGCACAGTAATCTAGAATCAGATGTAAGCCAGCCACATGTGAAGGTGAGGTCCTCTCTCTTCTAGCATCTCTATCATAAGACAGGAGTCTTCAGGGGCATGAGCCACACCCTGTGGATGGCTATTATCTCCACCTGCTTCTCACTGAACATTCCAGGGTTGATGCTTCGAACATAGATTTGTTGTGAAGACACTGAGGCATCCTTGACTGCAGATGCTCACCAGGACAGCCCCACTGGGCCACCTCCTCAGTCCAAATGCCATTCTTCCTGCTTGCTTGCTCCTGTTTGGTGTTGCTAGTAGGGTGAGGAGAATAATACTAGGCCCTAGGGAGTCTCTGCAGAGTCATCCCTGCCCTGAAATAGCAGAATGAGTCACATGCCAGTCACTAATCTGAGGAGTTATGGCTGTTAACATCTCTAACAATAAACACCACAGTGTAGGTCTGTAATAAAGAGGGAATATCCGAGGGACAGAAAAATGACATTTGCTCAAGGCTGCAGACAGTGTAGACAAAGCATGACTTCCATGTGTGGGTAATCTATCCCTAAAACTCTTCCTGAACCCCTGGACTGTGGCCACCTGTTGCAGGTGTACAGCACCACAAACAATCCTAACTGCACACTAGGAAGAAGCAGACACATTTGTCACACCAACTGCGCACTTCTCTCCCACCTTTGCTGGGAGAAGTCTCCCAAGCCTAGATTCTGGCAGTTTGTGGTAGATGATGTGTGGGTGCCTCAAGACCACATAGCAGTAGGTCTGAGCTTTTCTAAGACAATGCGGTAGGCCTCATCTAGAGTACCCCCATGCCCTCCTGATCCCCAAGACACAGTTGCTGAAGGCTCAGTGAGGACATTGTTTTGTAAATATTTGGAAACTGCCGCTCCTCTGACACTCAAAGAGACTTGCTGTGTGCTGCAGGACAAGCTGTTGTGTGCCAAGCTGTTCAAACCAGCAAACCGCAGACAATGTTAACCATCCCTCTTGCTCTTCTGCCAGGGCAGAAATCAAGTAAGGCTCTGATTATCCTTGAAAACCAATATGTGCTAGATGATAACCCATAATGTTGGGAAGAGTGTGTGACTTCATAGATACCATGGTTCTGATGATAAGGAATGTAAAATGGCCTCTAAGGGGGTCATTATCATTTTTATTAAATTATCATGGGTTTGTGCCTTGCTACCCTCTCTGACAGCTTTTGTGGGAACTGTTCTTAGTTTTACTACTGTACATGAGGCTTTGTTGGACTGTAACAAGATCTCTTTATTCTGTGGTCCATATTGGCATCATTAGCCTGACAGAGTAGAGCATGGTCCACAAAAGCCAAGGAAGTGGGTCAGCACCTAGGGTGGCAAAATGGGTGGGGAGAACAGTGTGCTTTAATCTCTTACCAAACTGTCTCTGCTTTACTGTCCCCCATTTCCAACCAACTTTCTTACATTCTCCTGTAGATGGTGTGTCCACTAGTAACTGGGAATTCAATCCCATGCCACACTTGGGACCCATTGAGCCTTCTCACCCCTCAACATCTTCCTGCTTATCCCTAGATTTCTGTTAATTCCCAGTGTCTCTGACATCCATCCAGTAAACTCATGAAATATCCTCATTTGGATGTAAATATTGTGTGAGCTGACACCTCTAGTCCTGAGTATACACTTGACAGAAATGTGTACATATCATCAGAAGAAATGTGCTAAAGTGTCCATGGAAGCCCTGTTCCTAATAACCCTAAGCAGAAGGCCCCTAATGCCCATGCTGGAAAGATAAGCAGATGAGGGACATTCACATGGTAGACTCCTGCACAGCAGCAGAAGGGACTGTCTCAGCTCCACCCACAGCTCACTGAGAACCCTGCTGGACTGATGCTGGGACTGACAGCAGGCAAGTCCAAGCCTACAGTTCTGTTCCATACAGCACAGGCCCGTAGGTCAACCCATGCTGACTCAAGGAGGAACAGTAGCTGCTCTCAAAGGGGCAAGAGGGGGGGACATGAGAGGTTTCTGGAATGTTCTGTCTCTGCATCTAGCTGCCTGTTCCCCTGATATGTTTAGTTTGTGAAAGCTCTCCCAGCTGTCTACTTTTGGGTGCTTTTCTGTATGTGTGTTATACTTCAATAAAACGTTGGGTTTTGTGACCACCAACTGGATCCCTCTGCTGGTTTGCCCCCACCTCCACCCCTCTGGCACTTCATTCAATGTTTGACTCCTCTTTACATGTCCTTAATACATGACATTAATAACTCCCATCATTAGTGGGACACTTTAAGGGCGTGTTTGACAACATTTTGAATACAAAATCCTTGTAATCAGCAGCTGTCTAGCTGGAGAACAGGCTGTTGATACTGCACAGGTGCCTTCCCACACCAACACTATGCTCTGTGATTTGTAGGTAAACAGCACGTGTGTCTCCCACTGAGGGGCTGAGGTGACATCCTCAGCCACTCTTGCCTTCTCACCCTGGGGAATGAAGGGACTGGATGGCCTTCCAGGAAACCCTGTAATTACAATGACCATTGGAGCGAGAGAGCAAGGTGTCATATGGCCCTGTGGTGACAAGGTGACACACAGGCAGGAAAAGCGGGTGCTGCATGCTTCTCCTTCACTCTGCTTCCACCGAGGGCTCCCCTGCCTCCGACCTGGAATGTCTGAGCTCCACGGGGCTGTCAGAGAGAGGCTTCCAGCTGTGCCCGCCACCCCTCACAGCAGTCTGGAAGCTTTGGTCTTTGATGCCGGTCTGCAGGAGTTGTCAGCACCCCCACCCCTCACTGAGGAGCCATAGGAGGGACAACACCAACAGACAGAAAGGGTTCTGTGTGGTGACTGCTGGAGCTTGAGCTGAAATCATGAGAGCTGCAGCTGGACAAGAACAGGGCTGTAGCAATGACTTGGGTAGAGTTTATCTACATGGACACGTCCTCAGCTTCTGGGTGGTAGGTCAACCCCGAGGCCAAGCAAGGGTAACTTCCAATCCCATCTCCTGAGCTGAGCACCTTCACTGCCCAGAGTGGCAGTGGTGGCAAATGAACTGCTCTCAACCCAGGGTTCACACTCATGGGTGTGAATGTGGGTGGCTGGCCCCGTGACACCTCTGCCTGTCACTCCCCGACATTTGTTAGGGGGTTTTGTGTTTGTGTTTTCTAATTATTGTCTCTCACTGAACCTAGAGCTCACTATTTTGGCTAAACTGTCTGACCAACAGCCTCCAAATTGCTCTGTCTCCCTCCCTCCCACCAGAGCCACGGTTCGGGCTATTTACCATCTCCTCTAGCTTTAGTGTAGGTTCTGGGGTTCTAAACACTGCTCCTTACGCCTAAGCAGCAAGCATTTTATTCACTGAGCCACCTCTTCCAAGGCCTCTGCTTTTTGCTTTCAGTCAAATCCCTATGTTTGATTCTGCTTTAGTTGTGTTTTGCTAACATGCCGTTTTCAGCCCCATTTGTGATAATTAACCATATGCTGTTGTCCTAGCTCCATGGCCTCAATGATTTCTAAGAGCCATGGTGTGATGTCCAGTGGCCTGCTTTCTCTGCCCTGGACATACTCTCCAGCGTCCTGTCACCTCTCTCCTCTAAACCACATGCTCCTCCACACTGCCGTTACTCAAGGCTACCTCTCTGCCTGTTTCTTGCTGCCACAGGGTCCCTGAACTTGCTGTATCTGTCCTCTGTGGCCCTGGGCTAAGTCTGATTGTCTTCTAGATCTCGACTCAAGATCAGCAAAGATTCACTGTGGCATGGTCTCTCAGACCAGCTCAGATCTGTTTCTAAGTTTGTCTGCAAAACAGTCCTACATCTGTGCTTGTGATAGCCAAGGAGTATCAGTCCCCGACTGTTATAAATCTCAGGTGGTCGGAGGCCCTGGTGTCATTCCCTTTGTATCTCATGGGTCACCTGGCCCATGAGAGCCGCTCTGTACTTATTGTAAGGATGGAAAAATTTAGCCTAATTTTCCCTAGACTCTGCCCCCTAGCAGTGAGTAGGCAAAAGGTCATTCTTGACTGTTTACAACAGGGTGGGTTACTGACAGCACCTGTGAGTGAATGAGAACAGGAAATGAGCCATGCCACACTACCCAGAAGCCCTAGCGAAAGCAGACTTCCTGGGCAAAGTACGGGCTTGGATAGTTCAAATTGATTGGTCCACACTGGATGCTATGAGATGATTGGTTCATGATGTGCGGGCTTTGTTGTAACCCTATAAAAGCTGTCTGAACCCTGTACTCAGGGTGCCCAGTCCTCTACCCCACGTGGAGTATGGCTGCGGACCACAGTGCACTGGAATATAAAAGACCTCATGCTTTTGCATCAAGACCGCTTCCCGTGAGTGATTGGGGGGGCGCCTTTCCTGAGTCGGGGCGTGAGGGTCCACGCCCTCCGTGGGTCTTTCATCTGAGGCAGTAGTGAGAGTGCTTGCCTAGCATTACTCCTGGTTCAGTACCAGGCTCCAAGTTTCTATTAGCTTTTTTTTTTTAAGTCCTTTTCTTTCTTTCTTTTGTTTTTTGTTTGTTTGTTTGTTTGTTTTTTGTTTTTTGTTTGTTTGGTTGGTTGGTTGGTTTTTTTTTTTTTTTTTTTGGTTTTTTTTCTGGCTTTTTTTCCCCCTCCACCCATAACATTTTCTTCTTATAACTTAAATTTGGGGGGGGGATTTTAATACATGAGTACTATATTCACATCATATGTATCCCTTCTCCCCCTCCAAGTTCTCCCACTTTCTTCCAAATCCCTTACCTTTC